AGGACCAATAATATGAGGAGGGGGTCGAAGGCGGGAATGATCTGTCCCATTTTGCATATTTCTAGATAAAGCATTTTCGTATCCATTCCTACGGAACGCATAGCAAAGGTTCGCTGACGCGGGGGTATAGCTCAGTGGTAGAGCATTCGACTGCAGATCGAGAGGTCTCCCTTTCCAACTCGGATGTTCCCTTCTTCAGGGAAGTGAAGAGAAATATTTGTTTGAGAAATTCGAAGGCGGGAGTGATCTGTCTCGTTCTGAATATTTCTAATCAAAGCATTTTCGTATTCGTTCCTACGGAACGCAAAGCAAAGATTAGCTGATGCGAAGGTATAGCTCAATGGTCGAGTATTCTACTGCAGATCGAGTGGTCCCCGGTTCAAACCCGGGAGTCTTCTTCAGGGAAGTGAAGCGAAATTTTTTTTGGGGAAATTTGAAGGCGGGTCTGATCTGTCCCATTCTGTATATTTCTAGCAAAGCATTTTCGTATATATTCCTAAGGAACACAAAGCAAAGGTTCGCTGACACGGGTGTATAGCTCAGTGGTAGAGCATTCGGTTGCAGATCGAGAGGAACCAGGGTGTCCCCTTCATCAGGGAAGTTAAGAGAAATATTTTTCTGAGAATTTCGAAGGCGGGAATGATTTCTCCCGTTCTGAATATTTCTAGACAAAGGATTTTTGCATCCGTGACGGTTTTGGGCCACATCCGTGACTTTGTGCGCGCTCATTGTAAAAATTTACCCTCATCCTATTTCTCTAACGCCCCAAAAGAAGTATCACTTCAAAACTTTAAAACACTGACTTTATATTAACATTAAAACAAACAGTTAAATTCCCAAACCTAAACATATTAATTCAACATTCAATAGTGCAAACATCTTAAGAAACAGTGATAATACTCTAATCTTTCAATCTCTCGAATAATCAGAGCACATGCATTTATATATTAAAGGAAAAACTGTGTGTGTGATGCCCCGCAAAAGAAAGGAACTGTATACAAAGCTTTGTATAAATTAGATGTGAAACGTTCAATAGCAGTATATGATTAAATAGTATCACGATCTTCTTGTACTTCACTTAGTGGAAATTTCAGGTGAAATAGAAATTTGAGGTAAAGTCAGGTTGAATGTTTATTTCCAACAATATTAACATTGCACTGTATAACTGCACAAGGGCTATTGGCGACGGACTTCATAATTTTGAACCATGGTCAAGTGAATAGAACAACAACTGAGCTGGTACCCTCTCTCCTAACTTTCACACTATACCAATGGGAGAACATTAAAGCAGTGTTTCTCAAACTGTGGGGCGTGCCCCCTAGGGGGAGTATGGTAACTCTACGAGGGGGGGGGCGAGCATATTGAAAAGTTGAAAACAAAGATTATTTAAGAAAATAATTAATTGATAAAAAATAAATAAAACACATTCTGACATAATAAAAAATAAAATACACATTTACACTGATATAATACACTTATAAATGTATTAGTACTACACAATGTATTTTATAAATAATTTAACAATACTAAATTAAGAACGAGTTTGAAAATTACCAGTGACTCCATGGGCTTTTCATGTAAAAATGATATCCAAAAATTAATATTTATCTTGATAATTTGTGTACGGTTTATAATTAATTCTTTAACTGCCGGTTAAAAGTTGTGCAGATATCTCCTTAATGCCACCGTTTTCCACGTAAGCACGCGTATGTGATGCATGGGGTGGGGGAGGGAAAGGAATAAATAAGCAAATCCTCTGAAATAAATAAATCCTTCACAAACACTACCAAGGTCCTTTTATTGCATTCCAGAGACTTCGGAATAATTTTATGGTTAGCAGTGTACGGAAAAAAACCGTACTTTGGAATGGCGTATATATACGTTCAGGGAAATTATCGTTTTGGTTAGCGAGACGCTTATATACGTCGGTGGCACATAAGAGGTTGAAGTCGTGTTGTAGTTTTAGAGGTAAAATATAATATTATTGAACTCAATACATTGTTATTGTATGGAAGGGGGGCGCGATGAAAATTATGACTGAAAATTGGGTCTCTGATATTCAGAGTTTGAGAAGCACTGAATTAAAGCTTCGACAGATTTAATGTGCATCGGCCCTTTCAAAGCGGTGGGTCCTCAGCGATACTAGGCTCTAACCCGTGACATGACATTCACGTGACCTTGACCTTGGCTCCCTAAATAAAAGAAAGAAGGAGATTAGGCTGTTTTATGCTATTAGCTGTCTTTTTTATTACCCTTCTACTTAGGAAGAAAATATCACGATTACCCTAGTTAGATTATGCATCTTTATACATATATTTGCGCACGCATGCGCATGTGTGTGTGTAAACTTTTCAGTGAGTTGTGAGTTGTCGGGGACAAGTACCTTATTTTTCTAACCTCAGCACCACGAAAGAACTAAAATTAAATTTAACGTAACTTATACTAAGCTTCAATATTAATAGGTATAATTTCCGTTGGAAATACACTTTAGATCTTTCACTATTACTTTGTCACTACCTTATCCTAATGGACTGCACAGTAGCCCTTTTTATACCATAAAAGTTTTCTGCAGTTTTCAATTTTCAGAATTATTTTATTTCATTTTATCTTACAAATGACACACAGTATAAATAGCACGTATGCCATTAGTGCACAGCTCTCCAATATTTTTCAACAGTACAGTTAAAACTTTTTATTGCAGGGCACACGTCCACATTTTCAGCTGTCATAGGCTGACCAGAGTCACAAAGAGTAGAGTTCGGTGAGTCGACGTTACCAATTCTGTAGAAAGGGAATCTCATGCAGTTATGCCTTGTCAGAAGTCTAAAATGTGCTCCAGAAGATTTTCTAGGAGCCCTTTTTTTCATTATTTTATTTTAAAAATTAGACAGTCAGTGCCAATGTTCTGAAATTAGAGATGCTTCAAATGAAAAATAATTTGACATTCTACTAGCACTTTAAATTAAGGTTATTTAATTAATTAAATTTTATGCATTAACTCTTTAACATCGGGCAGCGTAAGTGTTATCTTTAATACTTTCTGTAAAATTTCATGAGTTTCCATATTTTATCTTTGCAAATACCTTTAGGATACTTAATACAACACTTGCAGAAACTACTCATAGTGAATAGAAATAGTGTCAGTTTTAATGCAAAAAAGAAAACTAAAAACTCATTTACAGTTGAATGGTAAAATGCAAGTCTTTATTAAAATATGCGTCACTTTTAGTAAAACTCTTGTTACTTTCTTATCATCTAATTCCGCAACTGCTACATATGTAACATAATTATTAATTATTTTAAATTCATAATTATTTGAAAGAAATATGTTCTGAAGTTACACGTATAATTTCAAAGAAAGCTCATTTTGAATGAAAAAAAAAGTGGCGCAATATACGACGGTCATTCTTATCACAATAAACTGCCTTGACAGCCTCTGATTCATTTGTGTGACACCTTACGTGATATTACTTTACATGATACGAAAAATTGTACTTTGTATTTAAATCCATATGTTAACATTTGAGAATGTTTAAAGAAATTATTTTTCTTTAGAAGTTAATAAACTTAAAAACCGACTAATAAAAAAAAAAAAAAAAAAGAAATGATGCAGATGATTTTTTTTTTTTCTTAATACATTGTATGAGTTATGATTCATTCAAAATTCTATGCACTCAAGTTTTATGAAATTAGTATTGTGTACAATATATATAATGTTTTTATATCTATAATATGAGTGGGCTGGGTAGCGTGGTTGGTTTGTTGCTGGCATTCTGCACCCAAGGTTTCGGGTTTGACCCCGGCCCAAGTCGGTGGATTTTCATGATGCAGAAAATCAACAGCGACCATGTCGTATAATTATAGGGCATGTAAAAGATTCCTAGAGTGTCTGTTTGGCCTGGGTGTTTTCGGCAAAATTTAATCCTAGTACAGATTTGCATCGTCAGAGGTCAGCTACTTCCCTCTAGTGTGGAAACTTGGCGTCAAAACTACCAGCGACGATTGGTATCCTCCTATAGGGTGCCGCACTAAAAAGAGATACTAGCTTCCTGAGAATGTACTAGGTCTGCAATCGTAAGACACCAATCTGTAGCCCATTAGAAATAGCTCTATACTTTCCATTTATAATAGTTAAATGGTAATATAATTTCTTATTCATCCTAACAATTCTTTTTTATGTTAATAAAAAAAGCGATGTCTTAATTTTTATTTTGTGTGCATTCTTTAAATTTTTCATTGTTATCCGCATAAATACTTAAGTAATTATAGTAATATTAAAAATTTTCACACTATAGAATAACTTTGAGGACATTTTGACAATATTTACCTTATTGCATGCAAAAAACCAGTTGTGAATCCAAATTTATGAAAATCTTGTAATTACCTTTAACGAATCCCTTTTTTAAAGAAGAAAAATGCAGAGGAAAATTTTTATTTACTCTGCTATATACCTTAAATGGAAATCAAAATCCATTATTTTTATATACTTATTTAAACCATACCGACAGTTTCACAATTTTAATGATTTTCCGCCCTCTTATCTCTGCTTAAAACTGAGAACTCTAGCTAACGATCTTCAAAATTTAAAACTGAACACTTTGAGCTCAAACACACGGATTATTCTTTAAAATAATAGGTCTTCTCATTATATGTTCTTCCTCTTTATCTCAAAAAGAAAAAAAAAATAATTCAAAAAATGGTGCAAGAAGAAAGAAAGAAAAAGTTATCTAATCCGAAATAATTCCTCATCAAAGTTCATTTTGTTCCGGCACGACCGTTGCCATAAGTGTAGATCGGGATGCGTTTCCATGGTTACAAGTACATCCACTATCTGAACGTCATTTGGAATTAGGCTTAGCGCATGTGTTTCAACGAGTATGCAGTGGCTGTGATAAGTCTTTAGCCTTAACTGCGGCTTGTAGCTGGAAGAGGTTTCCTCTGATTATCGTGCTAGAGAATTAGAATGCATGCGATGAGAGAAAATTAGTTTCGAAATTGCTTTGTGCCAGGAATAAATATAGAGATATAAATCTGTTGAGAAATTATTGGGAAGCAACTTAAGATAAGGTTAAAATAGGATTTAAAAGTTATATAATACTTAGTCTAAAAAAGTATTTACTATCTTTAGAAGTTTCATTAAATTCGAAATTATGTGTAAGCTCTGAGTTAAATTTGAAATAAATATTTAGTTA